TTGATAGCAGCATATGTTATTCACAGGTGTGTCTTTTCACAAAGCCCAAGCGGTGGCACAAACCTGCTATATTACTTGCCTGTAATCCTCACAAGACTGATAAATCAAAAACCATGTACTAATTATTGCTAAAGCATTTGACTGCAGAACACACACGCACACACACACACAAGAAACTGCCTATCATGAGAAAAGTTCAGTTGTGAAGAGAACAACAATAGAAAGGATCGAGCCAACATTTAGTTGTCCTACCTTGCTAAACTCATATTAGACTGGCTATATATGTCACAAGTTTTAAAAGGCTTTCGTACATCAGCAACATAGCAAACACATCCAACTTTCATGTGCAAACACACTGGCCACATCCTTCAAGCACAACTTTTTTTCTCTGTTTCTGAGCAAATACCAATGTGAGATGGGTTCTTGAATAGTTTTGATGTAAGCCTCACACACATGAGCACACACACAGAGCCTGGCTGTTTATTGACATGTACCAGTGTAAAATACATGCCATTGTTGCATTTAAAAAGTGTCGCTCATGCCAACATTGTCGCGAGCCGCATCTGCAGTCCGGTCGGAATCGCTGACCGAGTTTTCCTCGAAGCCGTAAGTGTGGTCGGGATCGGGATTTTCATTGCTGTCACCATGCCCATCACTCAGACTTCACGTGTCGAAGGCCGCTACTCCAGAACATCAATTACCAGCTAAAGACTGAGGAATACTCTTGCTGAGTGTAGCTGGTAGGCCGACTGCGCCTCCACCGCTCCTTGTCCGAGGTACTACATATTGCGATCCAGGCTCCAAATAGCGTTTTTTTTTCTTCTTTTTGATCGAGGCTGGAATTGAGTTGAATCCATCTCTCGTCGAACTGGACACAAATTTCAAATAGCGCGCTTGATGGTGTCCACGCAAAATGAGGCTGCGGGACTGATAGTAAGTGAACGGGTAAAGATCGATTACATCGACCAAGGCTTCACACTCACAAGCTGCTTGCTGTGCCTTGAATGTTAAGCACGCGGCGCGGATTTTGCCGAAAACTATAACATGTGCCGCGAGATCACGGCACGAGGTAGTGACCCTACAGGAGACCTCATGTGCTTATGGTGTATTGTACTGTGGTCACCACGGAGGAAGATGGTCGTCGCCATGGTGGTCACTGATTGCCATTATGGCTAGTTGGTTGTAGCCATAATGATGTGATAGATGGATGGATGAATGAAATGATATGACTGTATCCTTTAAATTGGGCAGCGGCTAACGCCACCTAGCCTAACCAACGCTAATACGGCGACACAGCGCATGACCTCTGAAATTCCCGCTGCGCGCCCTTCATTGCACGTTTGCCATCTCGGAGGCTATGCACAGCGACACCATTTTACAGTAATTGCGTTCATTGTTTATATATTATTTGCTTTGAGCTCTAAAAAAACAAACCTATAAAGTTGTAAAACATGAAGTAAATGTTTTGCAAATAAATATTTTTGTTTTCAAAAACTAAATTGCGTTGTGTTGAGGAAGAAGTCGTAGACTCGTGGTTGCATAAACTACTCGGGAGATCCACAAATGGCACTGCCATCGTCATCAATAGCAAGTCCGTGGCAGCCTTGGTGCGTGTGTAGTGCATGTGAACATTGTTGCGTCTCTTAATTGCTCAGTATCCCGCCTGTACACTCACAATTCTCCAAGATGTTTGGTTCCGCAATGATAATTAAAAATTAATAGTCCCGGTAAATGCATGTAGGTACATCAATCCGAAGGATATGGGCAATTTTGATCCTCACAAGTGGTACCGGGTGTTCTGGAAGGATAACACATACTGCGACCACTACCACGCTCAAGTGATTAAGCTTTATGGTAAGTCCACGCCTCTTATTTTTCCAATACGAAAACAAAGAGGAGAAAGCAGTCATTCTGAAGTTATTTACTGATCATATTTTCTTAGGTACCGAGGATGATGCAAGGAATGCAACAGAAAAACGACCATCCATTCCCCAGACCCGATTGCGACTCCTCCGATAGCTGCAGTTCAAATGAAGTGGACAACGAGTCATTTAAAAAAGTAAGTTGCAATTGGTCACACTGCAGCTGATATGCTACTTGCAGCGTAATTATTACCGGCAGCCAAGTTGGGCTATCGTTGACATTGCAGCTGATGTGCTACTGCAGCGCACTTACAATCGACAGCCAATTTTTCTCTGCACGTGGTGCCGTGTCACACATGAAGCACCAATGCTCTGATATACTCCTCGCCCCCTTAGCGAATATATCAGAGCATCGCTGCTCCACTACTGTGCGGGCGCCGGAACGTCATACTGAAGGTGGTAGTAAAGTTGCAGTATGCTGAAGAGCTATTTTTATTTTATTCTATCGTGGTATGAGCGCAGCTTCGTCACATTTTTTTGTACAATTGACTGGTTTAAAATTATTTTTGCTTGTGCGGATATACGCCCTGTTTGTGCTTGCGAACTAGCAGTGAAATTTGTGTGTTGGGTTGTCAGCACTTGTAAGAAACACGACATCAAGCTGCTGTTAAGCAGAAGACAAAGCACGTCAGCAACCATTTTAAGAAGCAGCAGCGAGGCCTGCTGTTTGCTGATGCTGAAAAAAAGAACAGAAAGAGAGCTTCTGAAGGAAGTCAATATATATGCTGAGGGCTCAAAATACAAAGGTAGTAGAAAGAATAAGCCTACTGGAAAATGCCCTTTGCAGCAAAAATTTCCAAACAAGTTTATCATTTTTTCATAAGCTGTTGTAACGCGCTGCTGCTAGGGTTGTATGCATCAGCAAGTTGCCCTATTCTTATAGCATGCAATTTTGCTGAAAAGCAGCATGCAATGTAAGCTCATGGGTAGCAGGGATGCATGCATGTTTTTCTAATCACTTGTAAATGTGCTTTTACAACTTTCACAGCCTGGTGGATAATAAAAAGAACACCACTTGGTTAAAATTTCTTGAGTTCTCCACTACGGCATCCCCTATAATCACACCATGGTTTTGAGACGTGACATGTAACGTATCATTACACTTTAATTGCATATCTCAACTGCATGCTATGTTTATCATATATATTATATGACCATGCACACCTAGGTTGCTACCGTGACAATTAAGGGTGCAGTATACTTTATTTCTGCACACTCCACTTTTTCATTGCAGCAAAGAATCTTGTCCTTTGCCAATGTTGCAGCCGCAAGCCTCAAAAACAGAAACGACTTGCACCTTTGCCACCACTATGTGCTGCCATGCTGGAGCCACCACAGCGACCACGGACAGCCCTGAAGTAGCCCACTCAAGTGTGAGGGAGGCTGCACCGCTTATCAATTATGTGCCCACTGACAGAGAGGTATCATAAAACTCTAGTATGCTTTGTCTTGAAGTTGCTTTGCTTTAATGAGAAAATGTGCATTGACAAACTGATGTGTGCACATCATCTTTGACTTGTTTCATAGGTGCATCGGGGCAAAGGAATTGCCGTTCCCAAGAGGTTGTACAATCACCTCATGGGCTTGAAAAGACAGACCAGTTTTGTTCGTGAGGCGGCCGTTGCCAATTCTAGTCGGTAGAAGTGTTACTGGCACAGCCTCCAATCGGCCTAAAAGCGGAGGCGAAATCTCCCTTGGAGAAAGGAACATATGCTGTGTTTTCAGGTAGGTGAAATTTTGCAATCTGACCAAAATTCATGGAAGTTGGTGGCTCCATTTTTGCACATAATCAGCTGAGGTTTCACTGCCAACTTGTGTTATAATTACTTACTAAAGCTTCAAGTCTAGCTTTTGCCTACTGCAGCGGGGTACTTTTATGCAAGAATCCACAAACTAATTTTAAACAATAATAGAGAGGCAGACTGGTAGCACTCCTACTTATTTCCTTGTCATATTGACTCCTCTACTTAGAGTGCACATAATTGTCACTTAATAAGAGCCCATAACTTGCTTTGTGTTTGATCATGCAGATTTCTTCAACCATTTTTTTAAAGCACACCGTTCTGATTGGAGAGGTTGACCAAACGAAGAAGCTCCTCAATAAGGCTTTGGCAAAAAAAAATTATTGACTTGATGAACTCAAAAGATTAACAAAAGGATGGCACATCAAATAAAATATTTTGTTTGATTTCTGTGTTCATATTTGTGCCCTGCTTGCTCTGATGTAGCGGTGCACCTGTCAGTTGGCTAAGCACCAATTCGCTTGTGGGCCTATCAGAGTAGAATGCTACACTTATACGCTGGTACACCAGTACTGATACACTGATGGACTGATACACTCATAGACTGATACATTCATAGACTGATACACTCATAGACTGATACACTCATAGACTGATACACTCATGGACTGATACACCTATAGACTGATACACCTATAGACTGATACAACTGTCAATAACCTGATAGCCTATCAGTTTTTCAATCAGAATTTTTGCTAGGGCTAGTACATGTCATTTCTAAGAAAAATTGTAAATAGAAAAACCACGTCACTCCAAAATCTTAGCGACCCGGAAATTGCCTGTACGATTTCACGAGCACGCAGAAAAGTTGCTCAGGATGTGCTGGCCAGCATGAGATATGATTAAGTTATGCGAAATATTGCAAAGCCACTTTAATGTGTACAACTAATGCAGGCCTATATGTACATTTTTATGAAATAATATCTTTTTTCTATAAAAATGCAAACAATACTTTATTACTAACAGGAACATTGTTGACCGTGTACACTATATTATGGTCACATGACAGGGCATATTGGTTACTTGCAGTTTTTGCCACCAGGCGGTGTCACAGGCTACTTTCGCGATTTTTCAATGAAGAAATAAAGATATAACGACACTTTTCATGAGAAAAACAGGGTTGGTTGAAGTCACTATGAAAGGCAATGTTTTTATCCATGCATTCATCTTTATTTCATGTTCCGGGCAGTTCTCAGTCCCTTTAATATTAGGTACCTCCGACATATCTAGTAGTAAAAGGATATGGTGCAGAAAATTACACAAGGAAGTTGTTTACCTAGTACATGTAGCCACATCGTCTCTGAGAGCATCTTTAGCTTCCAAGTCAAAGACCCGGTGAAAAGCCGTCTGCAGAAAGAAAGGTTTTCGTAAATTGCCAAGAACATGCAGCGCTTACTGAGCACCAATTGACTTGCCAAGTTACCTACAGAGTTATTCAACACTGCTGAATAAAAGTGTTTATTAAACAGGGCAGAATGAAAAATAACTGCATTAAAATACCATATCAGTAAATATAGCGAGCCTGATTATGTATTGATGAATAATCAGTGATGTCTTCTGAAGAGATTACTGCCTTCATTATTCAATGGCAAGGCTTTATTTCGACTGTTCAGTGAGGAAAGGTGCAAACACAACAAAGAACATCTCAGAATGGTAGGGCTAAACACAACAGCTTGCAAGAGAACAAATCGAAAGTTACATTTATAGCAGCCTCAAAATCTCCAAGTCACTTCAAAGCAACACATTTTCTTAATTGCTATAGACTGAAATTGGCCACAAGAGCAGCACTGTTTAGATGTTAACAGCTTTTTTATTTTAAAAAGTGACATGATCTCGAGGTAAAAATGTGTAACTGGGAATCCAACTGGTTTCAACAGGTATTAACTGGTATCAGCTGGTCCCATTTGGGAAATAACTGGTCCCAGTTGATTCTAGTTACAACTGGTTTTAGTTAGCAACTGCTACCAATTAAAAGTTAACTGGTCCAAGTTGATTCCAGTTGCAACTTGTACCAGTTAAAACTCAACTGGAAACCAACAGGATGACCAGTTGAACGAGAAGACGCTATCATTTCTCATTTAGACATCATCCCCTTCTTTTATTTATAATATGATAAACAGTCCCACCTGACCTAATATGCATTTATTATAGTAGATCATTTCATTGCACAAGTGCGCAATACACAATTCACTCACATTCAACTACGTTCAGTACATTCAACTCCTAATATTAAATAACTGTTGTCAATCTTTTATGTCCGTGCCAGCCCAGTTGATCTTGGGGAGTTAACATTGTCGTTGCTTCGTTGGGAGCATGTCCGCTTGACAGCGTTGAGTGCAGCATTGCGACTACTTCCGAGCGATGACAAGCGGTTCCACAGATACATCAGCTGCATCACAAAACTTCACGACATGAAAGCCAAGTGGAGCAAGCTTTGCACTCTATATGCAACTGCAGTGCTATTCCAAGTCAGCTGTACAGTAGCTATTGCCTATTGGGTGCGGTGTACCATTTCTTTTTTTATAATACTAATAAATCATGATAATCTTCTACATTTAACATTGAGTCCTTTGAAGTGTTTGATGTTCTTATAATGATGATTACTTGCACGTTCAATATTATTTAAGCTAGCTGCAGAGCATGTATATCTGGGCACCAACGGTGAATGGGGCCTGTTCCCAATTGAGAATACTTTAATTCTCTAATGGGAATGCATTCCCAGCAAGTCCCAGTTGGTGACTAGGAATGCATTCCCAACTGAAAATATGTTCCTTAACCCCATTGAACTGAGACCTGTTGAAACCAGTTGGATTCCTAGTTATGAATTTTCACCTGGGGAATTGTGTAGAAAGTATTTGGAAGATGGTAAGCAAGCAACGATGGTGCAGTCTGTCTGTCACTGAGCTGTTCAATCAGAGTGTCTGCACTGACATTCATAATTTGGAGAGACCGAAGACCTGTGCTCCCCACCCAAGTCTTCAGTCAACCACCCTCAATTTCCTCACTATAACATAGCATATGCAATTTCCTAAATTTTACTGACCAGTAACCGGTAAAGTCATCCCACATTTTAATGAGTATGTTCTGGCAATGGCTACAAGTATAAAACTTGTTTACAGTCACTTTGTATTTTCCAAACATGCAAAAAGTCACTCTTTGCATGCCTTCCTGCACCAATGTAGAGTGGCTGTTCAGGTAACACTAAAAGTCACTATGAGATTGCTGCAGCCTTTCGTTGCCACAATGTGTGCATAAGTCAGCTAGGATATTTGCGAGGCGATCTCGAAGACACTCACCCTGGTTTCATGGTCGACAAGTAGCACTTGACAGCGCTCACATTCGAGCAGTGACTGCATGTGTGTCATGATGCGGTAAACAACTTGCTCAATGGTGCTCTGTTCCTCAAACACCATACGAGCTAGATCCAGAAGAACCTGAACAAAGACAGAAGCACAACTGCTGCAGCAATGGTTTCTCCCTGAGCATGAGTTGAAGGACACAGAAGTTCGCAAGGTGCGTTAAACTTGAGAACACCTTCTGTGGATATTTAATTGGGCCATCATGAGAGAATGCTACTGTGCCATAACTGTTGCACTGTCACTAGCCTGTAACCACTCTCACTAGAGGTTAACAGCGTACAGCCGTAGCGTCGATAATACGCAATGTTCTTTATAAGCAGGTTTTTCCCATGCACTCGAGTAACCTAAACCAAATAGGACTGAGCTCCTACTAGTGAACTAGACAGATGCATTCTGAAAATATAAACACCATGAGAAAAGAAGTGGAGCAGTGATAGCTTGCACAATTTTGCATGCTGAGAGCCTATCTATGACTCCTGATCGAGTAAGGTTTGGCATTTTGGCCAAATTAAGTGAATCGTGCTTATCATACGAGTGGAATCAGGAATGTAAGGAAGCTTTGGAGAAAATGCACGCACTACTTCATATATGTAGCTTTAAAATAAAAAGAACTGGATTTGCATGCTTAGGAAAGTCAGTGGCAATGCCCAGGATACATTCCCTTAATTACAATCACCAAACATTCCTTTGATAATGAGTTCACAAACCTATGCACAAAAAAGTTTGGAAAAAAAAAGGTTTACCCGCAGAAACAGATGAATGCACGCTGATTGTATTTAGGATACAAACTTAAAAAAAAATTTATCTGAACACATAACCAAGCAAGAAATGGGCATGTACTTTTTACTCAACAGTGATTCCTTTTCAAATCAAGACTGAACGACCAGAAGAAGATTGATAATCGCGTGATGAGAAATCATTCGACAAGAAATGTGAAAGGAGCAAAATTTGCTGGCTCCAGTGACATCTTTAGTCTGACAATATCCGTTACAGCTAGAATATGACGCACTGTCCCTTTATTTTCTATGTTGAGATTCTAGAAGGTACAGAAAGATATTATTTCATTTTATGTTCCTTTTGCATTGTGTCAGGGCAATCGATCATTGGCATGACACACATTTGGGTCTCACTTTACACATCTTCAAATCTCATGCTTAATGTAATATAACCCGATATCTATATACATGAGACTGCACAAAGCATTTCCTGATTGATTGATATGTGGGGTTTAACGTCCCAAAACCACCATATGATTATGAGAGACGCCGTAGTGGACGGCACAAAGCATTTCCTGTTTCTTGCATTCTGGTCCTCTGTGACACTGACAATGTTCAGAATAAGAAAAATAAAGCTTCAATGTGTAACGCTAAACGTACTGCTGCTTTTTTGCCAGAATTTTATCAAGACAGCTAGAAGATACCATGAAGTCGCAAGGCGTAGGAAATAAATACTATTGGCACATATTTCTAGGGCAAAGGAATATGCATAGCATGAATTTCAAAATCATTAAACTAGGCTTGTTAATGCTTGTTAGTGAGTTAGTTGGTTTGGTGGCACTATAACGGAAAATAAAATAAACAGTGCGAGATGACAAGGCAAGAGGGGGACACACAGTGCTTGTGTGTATGGCCCTTGCGTCCTCGTCTTTCTGAGGTTTTTTTCTTTTATTACAATCAAACTAGGCTATACTTTCTTGATCAGAGCTTGTTAAACATAGATGTATTGCAGCACAGTCACATATAAAACAAAAATGTCAATTTACTATAAGTTGCACAGCTATAAATCACAATTTAGACAAAACTTGCACAGAAACCTACAGGGGCCATAAAAAATTCCCAGGCCACGCTGCTTTAGAAATATATGCGATAGTGGCTTGAGAACTTTTGATGGCCCCTGTACATGCTAACATTTTGTACCTAGCAGCCATTTAACATTATTTTGTTTACATATACAAAACATTTTCAATATTACATCATATATCAGTAAGATAATTATGGACAACAATCAAAATGAAAAGCACACATACCTGGTTTCTCTTGTTTTCAAGCTCAGACCGCTCATAGAGCTGAGCGTTTCGCAGTACGAGGCCACAAAACTGCAGGTACTCCGAGAACACCTTAGCAAAGAAAACCATAATTAGGAAGAGGGATACCGTGTGAGAAGTCAGAAGCACAATAGGCTCTCCTCCAGTTGTCTAAAGTAAACTTTCAGCCCTCCTACTCACCAATAAAACATCTCAATTTAAAATGCTTTTATTTTTATCGCCTTATGCCATTTTTAAATGCATTAAATTGCCATTAGCTCACTATGGCTGCACAAAAAAATCTAAAGCTATGGACCTTGATATAACGAAGTCAGTAAAATCGGCCATTTACTTTGTATGTCGAAACTTCTTTAAATTAAAATTTGACCTTTTATGCAAATTACAGAGACAAAAAGATTCATTTAAACACACAGTGCCCAAAGAATAACAGTCTTAAAATGAGCGGCACTGCAAAAACAATGGACTCACTTAAACGAATTAAACCGTCAATTTTGTTTAACCAGATATCCAGCCGGCGACATTTTGATTCTGTGTTGGCAAAGTCGTATTCACAGCTCCCGTAAGGCAAGCGCAAAGCCGACAAGGTCGAGCATGACCTGGAGTGGTGCGAAAGCAATGATACAGACCATGCTTTCTTAACCAAACTTGATCTCCGATGCACTAAGTTCGAAGAGCACGCATCGAAAACCACGATCAGTAATATAAATTAGCTGCAGTCGAACCATTACGGCGCCTCAAACATAGGTCCCGATATGCAGTGGCTCAACAAGCCAATTTACCACAGTCCTCACAGTGCCGCTGGTATCTGTCAGCAGGAGCCCCTAAACGTATTTCTCAGTATTTTATGAGGAGGAAGGGGGGGACACTTCTGGTGAATGCGCCAGCAGATATATGGTGTGAGTACTTTTGCTGGCCACTTATTCTATTGTTCACAAGACCAGCATAGTTTCTTTTGATTTCTGTATTCAGTCTGATTTCGGTGATTTCAGTCTGCTCACACTTCGTCAGTAGACTGCGCTTTGCGATATCCCCGAAGAAGCGGGCGCGGCGTCTTATCTCGCCAATCGAGATAGCTTGCAAGATGCCAGCGCTGTCGACGACGTCTGTTTCCTGAAAAATCACGATCGCTCGCAAGATAACCTCCAGCACATCGCTTTACTACTGCCTTTACGACTACTCGCTATTGATGAACTGGGCCTTGGCACACGGCAAGGGTGGCGAGGAGTACGGTACTACGAAGCCTCGGGGCGGTTTAAAAAACGCGCGATGCAATCCGTCAAGGACGTCCGGACTGTTCATTTGAACACACGCCCATTGGCCAAAATCTTGAGTGCTAGAGGGCTAGGCACTAATATTGAATCCCAGACCCCGGATTCGATCTCTCCAATCAGAGCATGCTGAAATGGACAGTTACGCATCAGTCGCATGCTCACACTCTCCACCGTTCCAAAGGCGAAGATGGCAGAGAAGCACCTTGTCTACGCAACCGGAAACAAGCTGCTTCGCTCCGCTTCGGCAGCCACTTTGTAGCGCGGCGCAGGATTTCAAAAAAAAAAAAAAATGTTCGCAATGACCGCATGCAAGTCAATCGTATGTGACCACTGACACGTACTATGAGCGTCAAATGAAACCCGAACCGCGGCAAGCCTTCGCGAAGGTACAGTGCACGCCGTCCACTCATCACTACGAACAGGCACGCATATATGCACAAAGCTGCTGAACAGGATGCGCGCGCCTGTTAATGGTGATAACTGGACGACATGCACTACACTATCGTAAAGGCTTGCCGCTGTTCGGGTTTCATTTGACGCTCATAGTACCACCAGAAGTTTTAGGTTCTTATTGCGATAATAATTATGTCGACATTCTAGGCGGATTTTTTGCCATCGGCTTCGCCATTTGTTTCCGTGTAAAGGTCAAATCAATAACATCGCCCCGCGCATCGTACGTTCTAAGCACGAGTAAATACACGCGAGCACTGCGGATGAACGCGGCTAAAGCCCACATGAAACGAGTCGGCCATCTCAGTCACACGAAGAGCTCATGCGGGATAACATACCACCCCACGTGCGACACTTGCCTTCGACTGCTCCTCAAGCATAAAGGAAACACCCTGCCCGTCTTCCGTCGGGCGAAGGAGCATGAAAGGGCACCGGTGGGTGAAGGACGGGAGAGACTGCATGAACGTTGATCATGACGGCGCGGTCTCGAGCACTGTCTCAACAAACCTTAGTAGACAGCCCGTGCATCCTTACTGTGGTCTCAACGCTTACTTCACCGTTGAGACGACCGGCAGCATAAAAACCACTTAGTTCCTTGAGCCGTACTGACTTATACCCGAGTTTCCTAAAGTTACGCATGGTCGATTCGAAAAGAGTTACTTGATAGCCTTCATTCGTGTAACATTACAATTTGTTGATATCACAATCCTTGCCTCGCCCTTGTGGCAAAACTGATTTTTCGCTGTCGAATCGGCTGCGGTAGCACTGAATCTTCATTAGCAATGTATGATAAACATACTTCGTCACACTGAGGTCGAAAATAAATGGCGTACGTTTTATGCACACCAAGCTATAAAACAAATATTTCTTTTTACCGAGATTTATAGTGGGAGTTCATTACATCTTCGTTTAGCTGTATTTCGTTTTTTATCACTGCAATCATAGAACTGCGAGCTATATATTCTGCAAACTAATGACAGTGTACTACAAAAGTGAAATAGGCTTTTGTAAGGGTTTACATGTGCGCCGGCAAAGATTTTCGTCACAAGTGACGTATACGTATAATTATTCAACTACAGTTCACCAGAATCATTTCACTATAGACGCAACTTATTTGTTTATCTTCACACACACGTACGCACGCAGGCGCGATAAAATGATGCTTATTACCGTGCTGTTTGAAACATGGTGGCTCATGGGCAGCAGCAAAAACGCTTGCCTTGGCCGATTGATCTAGTAAGGTTTATCGCTTTATCGCAGTCTAGTCTTTCGGCGACATTTATTTGAGGTTTCATTTCTTCATTAAAGCCTCTATTTTCAAGTTGCATTTATTAGCACCTAGAATAAGACCAGCCTTGTCATGGACTTTTTTTTCTTTTCATTAACACTCTTCACATATATCTTTTCTGTAAGCTTCCAAAAAGAGTACTTCTCGAAGTTTGAGAGCGAGAAAAAAAATAACACTATCTCTCTCTAAAGGGAACCATGAGAGGATGCGAAGCAGCATTGGGGGTACACACCAAGTTTCCACTCACTCGACATAGTGTGTGTGGTTTATATTTAGTGTGTAGTGGAGCATACGCACCAACGCGTATGCGCCTTCGGAAAATAACGAAAAGCCCCGAGCTCTGCTTGCGTGAGAGTTTGTGCCGCTTTTGCCAGACTTGCCGTACGCCCATTTTTCGTCGCGACCTCGTTGCGACTTCTCTGCTCGAATAAACGTCATCCCATTTGGTGGAGGCTGCTGAGATCCCGAAGCAGACTTGGAGCTCCGCTCTCACAAGTTGCCCGAGAGACTACCGCGAAACATGACTGACGCAGTCACCAACCAGCCCGTCCCAGCCCAGCCAGCACCATCAGCTGCCCTGTCTACCTGCCCCGGCGCTACTCGCCAGCGGGACTCACCAATTTTCAGCGGAAGTGGTGAGCAAGACGTCGAAGATTGGCTTTCCTTGTACGAATGCGTAAGCGCCAGCAACAAATGGGACGACGACTCTAAGCTCGCCTATGCTATCTTTTACTTGGCAGACGTAGCTAAGCTTTGGTTTACCAACCGCGAAACCGCCATCGCCAACTGGTCCTCTTTTAAGACCCTTGTAACTGAAGCGTTCGGACGACCAGAGGTCAGCAAGCTCCGCGCTGACCAGCGTCTGCGCCACAGAGCCCAGCAGCCTGGCAAGACGTTTACGAGTTACATTGAGGATGTGCTCGACCTCTGCAGGCGTTTTAATCCATCTATGCCCGAAGAAGAGAAAATTCGGCAGATTCTCAAGGGCATTGAGGATGGCGCATTTCAGGTGTTGCTAGCGAAAAGCCCGACCTCGGTGGCAATCCTCGTAAGCCTGTGCCAGGGCTTCGATGAATTGCGCCGTCAGCGTTTCGTCGCCCGAGAGAGTGTCTAACCATCGGATTCGATCTCCACTGTCGCACTCGCAAATGCCAACGTTCGCCAAGAAAGTCTGTCCAACCAGATCAAAGACTACATCAGGGAGGAAGTCGCCCGACAGCTCTCCCTGCTGCCACATAGCGACGCGCCCACCGCAAGTCTGCCTTCAACACTGCAGCAGGCCATACGCACTGAAATTTGCGATGTCCTACCTACAGTGCAGGCCCCCTACGCATGCACTTCAGCAGCATCTAATCTCTCAGCTGTCAGCTATGCACCACCCGGGCCATCTTCACCTCTCAGCTATGCAGCTGTGGTTGCGCGGCCCCCACCGCATCCAGTATCCTTATCGGCTCCACCTCCTCCGGCAGCACCTCTGGTTTACAGGCCCTCACCTCGCATTTTCCGTCCATCTAATGAGTGGCGCACCCATGACAACCGTCCTATCTGCATCCCGTGTGGCATCGCTGGCCACATTGCACGCTACTGTCGCCGCCATTCCACACCTGCGTACGCCTCCTTTGGAACTTTTACCGATGCGTCGAAGCAGGCCAACACGTCTGCATACGAACAGAGGCACTCAGACTCAGATCGTCGCCCATCAACTTCTCGTTTCCCATCTCCTCGTCGCCGATCGCCATCTCCTATACGTCGTAGACCACCTCTTGAGGAGGGAAACTAATCAGTGTAGTACCAGTGACAAGAACTGCAACTTCTGCGCGATTATCAAGGCCTCCAATTTTGCCGCAAAATGTTGTTGATGTCATTGTTGAGGGAGTCGCCACACAAGCGTTATTTGATACTGGGGCCGCCGTTTCTGTGATGAACGCAAAATTTTGTCGCAAACTGAAGAAAGTGACCACATTTTTCTGTAGCATCGTGCTGTCCACGGCTAGCGCGCAACGCATTCATCTCTCGGCTGTATGTACGGCGCGCGTCGTCATCCAAGACCTTTTGTACATCGT